TATGATACTACCACAATATATTGTGAAATTATAGTAAACCTGTAATGCAATATATTGATTGCTATGAAAAACAATGTTATAAAAAGTGTTAAGCATTAGCTATGAACAGATGTTTGAAATGTCTATATAATTATATCACATTAAAAGTTAAAACTTTATCAAAAACTAAAAATATTTGGACTATGTGATATTTACTGGGGCCATAATGGCTGAGTAGGAGTATGTTATAATAAGCCAGCTTACTGAAATTTTAACACTGGGACTGATTTACCGGTATTATGTATAGTATCAACAATTCTACATTTGGAAAATCTACAAAGTTGTCTGACAATCCTCCCACCCCACCCCCCTGTTTTCTGCTTTGTATACCTCTTTGAAAGGGTGTATAGTGCATTAGTATTTTTGACTGAGAGAACACTATCGGAATCCAGAATTACACAAGATGTTAATTTTTGCAATTTGCAAAACATTGTTTTTGACTGGTTGATATTAAGGTGTTAGTAAGTCTTACTAAATTCAATGTAAACATTTTAATAATGAAAGGGTCCATAACTCTGGATACCTTTATCTTATTTTACCAATTATAACTTTATAAGATTAATTAAAGATAACAGACACACAAGTATTTTTATGCAAGTTGATAAGATTACTTTAGAAATGTGAAGAAAACATTGCAAACAAGATAACAAGTGCCTATTTCTATGAATAAACAGAATGGTGATGAAAAAATCTAATTCAAAAACATTTAAAATCATATGATAATAAATAATGTGTTAAATTTTTGTATAATTATAATATTATCAATTAAGAGATTTTCATTTAATATGATTTTGGAATGGAAACGTTTCAAATGATGAAGGAAATTGAAAAACCTTTAACCTTTGTTTTTATTATTCTCTTACAGTGTAAAATCAAATTCAGCTGTGGTTTTCTGCCATTATTAAAGCATTGTGTTCAAGTCTGACTTTCTGAAGAAAAATTGTAGAACTAAATTTTTTAAAGGTTTTATTCAAATATTTAAGTTATTAGAATTTTGATTAATATTAGGACCCAGTGATCTTAGATGTAACAATTATACTGGAACCGTATTTATGTCAAGCTCTGAATTTTAATTAACCTACTATTGATACATGTATATAAAATTCATCAGTTTGTAATTTTATTAACGACTAACTTTAGCATACTCTGTAAAACAATATGTAGGAAATAAACCTATTACAATTTTCAATATCAACAGATTTCCACATTATTTTAAAGTTCAAATATTGAATAATATTACATTAATATAGAAAATTCACAGCTTTCACATTTATTTAACTGTAATTTAATTTTATGTTTAAAATTTGTTAAACATATCTTTCATTTAATCTGGACTAGGTATTGCAATGAAAAATTTAATATTGTGATATATTGCAGCAATATATACAGACATTATTGCATATTATACAAATATGTACTTTTTAGCTGGTGAATATAGTGTGATATGTACTGAAAAAATTAATATTGACCGAGGTGATTCTTTAGCCAAGGTCAATATTAATTTATCAGTACATATCACACTATATTCACCAGCTAAAAAGTACATATTTGTTTTATAATATAATTTATAAATAGCTTGTATATGGCTTATTAATTCTGCCATTGCCTACAATGGAAATTGACATTTTTAGCTTGTCTAATTTTTCCATTAATTGGCCCTATCTTTTAAATGAGTGCATTAGCAAGCTTATTTTTAGTGTTCTTTAAAATGTTATGACTAATTTGACTCTTATTTAAGAGTCATCCAATTTTATTTTTTTAGAATAATATATACATGGTACAACAAACTTGGCGTGATGTTGCGTCATAGTCTCATATCTTTCAGGAAATTTCCAGAAAATCTATTTTAGATTATATAATGTGATTTATCACATACCCGTGCCGCTTTTGCAACTCGGTAAAAATGATATTGCATGTGACATCATTTGCATAATTATAAAAACATACAGTTAAGACTCCCTATATGTTAGCGTTACACAATAGGCACATAATTGAAAAATTATTCTTTTTTCAATTTAAACACTCTTTATTTTTGGTATGTGATAAATAAAATATAGATTCATTTAAGTTTAATACTAAATTTATTAAACTCATTGAATAAAATAATACAATCGCAAGAGGCTCCCATAATATAATTTTATTTAACTTGTCCAATGGATTTCATTATTAAACTTACACTCATTCAATACTCTCTATATATTACAATAATTAACAGACATATTGCAGTAAGTTATGAACTAAGTAAAATGCTTTAAATCAAGGGTAAGATCTACATAAGCTTGACTTCATAGTTTTATTCTTATAATTATCTCTTTATGAGAGGCCCTTTTATTAAGATTTTGCACTTTGTTAAAAGTAATACTGTTTCTAAAGGAGTTCCAACAACTTTATGCAATATCATTTGAAGTCAAGCTATATATAAGCAGAGAATACTTCTTATTTATAAGGGTTTATAAAAAGATAAATCAATAATTTTCGAGGTCCTACAGTTGATTGCATTGGTCAATACATATCATTTTTTATTCAGTACATATCATATTCCCCAGCTGAAATTTAGTCCCAATCTGTTTTATTATAAAATGTAAAATAACTTCTATATGCCTTTTTAACCCTTTTGCTGCCAGAGGGTTATTGTTTTATTGTTAACCTATTTGCCAGAGGGTTTTCTAAGAAATTACTCTATAATTTATTAATATAATTATTATTATTTGTTATAAGTATTATAATAATTATATATGTTTCCAAATCTGTTAATATAATAATAATTATTTTCGATGGTATAATTTTCTTTATATTTATTATTACTTTTATTATTATTATTATTTACTTATTATTATAACTATAATAATAATTGAAATGGCTAAAGCCGTCCATATGGCAAATACACCGAAAATAACAGGGACCGCTTAAGCCGTCCTTATGGCAGTGAAAGGGTTAATTTGGTTCTGAATAACACACAATTCTAGATTTTTAATTGTCCATAACTTTGGTTAGGGTCTGTCAAAGAATGCACAGGAATATCTAAATTCTTACTAGTCCTAAATTAATATGCCAAATTACAAAACAATGTTTCTTTTTATCTTTTATTTTAATTCATGACACTTATTTGAACAAAACTTCTCTACAATAACAACAACAAATGGATATGATGTCAAGTCATAACAGCAAAAATTGTAGACTTCTTGCAATAGCTTCAAATGATGTCATACTAATGTATGACAACACTGAATTTAGGCTTTACAATATTCAAATGCTATTAGAGTCATCAAAACTACTTCAAGTTCAAAGCAGGGAGGTACAAATGTAATTTTAAAGGAATATTCTTATATTCTATGTTGTAAAATTTAAAAGATAAAGAACTATATACTGTAAATTCATAATATTACTTAGTGCAACACTAAGCTAAGTCAAGTTAGACTAGTTTTGCACTGGTGATTTTTTGTGGGTTGAAAAAAAAATTGGTGCAAAACTCATACTAACTTGACTTAACCCAGTTTTGCAGTAACTAATTTGATCAGTTTGACTTAGCATGTTTACTTAAAATTTAAATATAATTACTAATACAGGGAATATGTTCAAAATATTTATAGGGAAAATGGGATGTTTGATTAGCTTTCAGAATTTATCAAAAAGTCCTTTTGAGTGAAATATGGACTTAGCTGAGTTTTGCGCTGAGCCATCAACATGTTTTGATCTCATTTATTTATTAAATTTTATTCAAGTCTAGTTATTAACTGTTGAAATATACTAAATTTCTATATACTTGATAAATAAATTCAAGTGAAACATCATAATTTAAACAGACTTATTTGTTTTCTTATTATAATTCAAACATTTGGTGAAGCCCAGAACTCTAGCAAAGTTCTGATAAGTAGTAACTGGTCCATAAATAACAGGCCATAGAAAGCTACCAAAACTAAACTGTCTTAATATACTGGTTTCAGAGCAACAGATAAGCTTTAAAAGTGAATTGGGTATTACTCCATCATTTCCTTTGGAATTGGGTATTGGCTCCATTTAATTGGGTATTCCAAAACTCGATACCCTATGATTTCAAGATCAATTGGGTATTCTATTATGAAGATATGAATTTTATGGTTTCAATTTCAATAAAATTAAAACTGTTTTATAAAGAAAATAGAATAAACAATTTTAATAGAACTTTTCACAATTGTTTTATTATTTTATATAAAATGCTCAAGTTATATTTCGTAATATTTTTAACATGTTCGTTTTCTGACTGATTTTTGATTATTTACGACTGTTTTGTTTCAAATCATTTTCCGTTTTGTACGACGCCATATTGCCTCAAAGCGTCTATTGGTACAGCTGGGACCTACTTAGTGACGGTCTCCGCAAATCAACGGTCTCTGCCGGTCTGTTAAAACCGTCGACCTGAGTAGACAAATTGACGGTCTTAGCTTATTTGATATGGCTTAGTCGGTCTTTGGAGACCGGGACCGTCGAAGACCGGAGACCGTCGAATAGTTAGCATTAATTCGGAAATATTCGGATAGCATGCATATTGATATAATTTGACCAAAACTACGAGCGAACGACAGATTAATTTTGCGGTGGTGAAAATGACAATACGCACGGATTTTTACAACAACTGCGTATTTTATTTTTTTCAATGGGTTTTGATACGCATTCTAAAAAAATCAATTGCGTATTTCATAAAATTAATTGCGTAAATACGCAAATACTCACCTTATCTGTTGCTCTGGGTTTTAACAAGAGTGCAGCAAACTTCTGAACCCCAGTCAACAACTTCTAGCCTAGAATTACCATATGCAGACAGACTGATAAACGAAGAAGGCCAGGTGCAAAGAGACGCTCAACTACTAGAGTGTAACAATATATCTCATTACTCATTCCATATATCTCATAACACATACCATATATCTCATAACACATACAATATATCTCAAAACACATACCATATATCTCATAAAACATACCATATAACTCGCATGTGGGTGCTGATGGGCTCCACTGACCATCAGCTCCACAGCTTCTAAAATTGCTACCCTTCATTTTATGACTTGCAATACAAGTATAAGATGCAAACTTTCCATATGTTGTCCCTGGGTCAAAGTTTACAGTACCATTATCTGGTTCATTCAATACTCCACAATCTGCAAGAAATCAAGTGAAACTCTGCCTTTATTTGGCATAATATTGGTACTTATTTTTTAAACTTTTAGCCTGTTTGGAGGCAACAGATTATACCCATTAACCAGTGCAGCCAGCACAACTGTGATGTCTGATTATGGTCAGCTCTGTTAGCTATTCAGTCAATAAATTTTTTTTTTAATTTTCACAAAAATTGATCAAATTTGTTTTATCAAGATTGAAAGATGGTCAAATCAAGATATTAAGCAGAGTAAAACCAATATATAACATGCTGTTACATGCAAATTTCAATAACATTATTTTACTATCCCTGAAATTAACCCTTGCTCCACAATTTTGAGCACATAAGAATGCAGTAGACTTTTATTATCTCTAGAGTAACCCATACTGTACCATTCTATATAAAAAATGTGTTGGTTGTTGCTATCTGAAAATTTAACCATTGGTTTACCCTTCAACAAACAATAATTCAATAAACTTTGGCAATCTAAAAATTCACTCTTGGTTTATGCTTTGAAACATAAGAATTCAATGAACTTTGGATTTCTAAACAATTTATCCTTGTTTTACCCTTTTTCAAAGAAGACTTCAATAAAGTTGGCTATCTGAAAATTCACCCTTACTTAACCCTTCGAAACAAAAGTCTTCAATATAGGTTGCTAACTTATATAAATTCACCATAGCTATGAGGTGTAGAATACAAGAATGACATACATGGCATTTACACACTATCAAGTTTTTACTGTTTTAAATTTCAATTCATCAAGTATTATGTAATTAGTATTTAGTTTGATTTTGAAGGAAGCTATAAGCTTATACACACTTTCGAATTATGTTGTTTTAAAACTGTGCTAGAATACTTTCATTTACACATAATGTACAGTGGCAATTTAGTATTTCCTAGACCTTGTCAATCTCATACGCAGTGATCTCCCCTTATCAGTACAGAGATTTCTGCCATCACAAACATTGAAATATCAATATTTGGATATTTATATCTTTTAGCTTTTTAATTTATTTTCATTATTTTGTAAACTTTTGGGTTTTTTTAATAAAATATAACGAACGTAGGTACAAAAAGTTAAAAAATAAAACAGAAAGAGAAAAATGACGTTAGATTTTCTATGTAACGGTCGATATTAACATTTGAATTTCGACATTACCTCATTACGACAATTATCTAGACAAGCATTCTGACCAAGTCTCATGACAGGTGAGTCAAAAATGTGACCACTACATTGTTAACAAGGATTATCCTTATTTGAGCAGTGTGACCTAGTTTTTTACCCAGGTGACCCATATTCAAACTTGACCTAGAAATCATTAAAACAAACTTTCAGACCAATTTCCAGGATACTTGGATCAAAACAGTAGCAACTAGAGTGTTGAGAAGATTTTTCTATTTTAGCTCCTATGACCTAGTTTCACATGCGATTTCGAACTCATCCGAGCAATTACCTAGACAAGCACCCTGATCAGGTTTGATGATGATTGAGTCGAAAATGTGACCACTAGAATGTTAACAAGGTTTTTCAATATTTGGGCAGTGTGACCTAGTTTTTCATCCAGGATGACCCATGTTTGAACTTGACTTAGAAATCATCAAAACAAACTTTCAGACCAATTTACAGGATATTTGGATCAAAACAGTAGCCACTAGAGTCTTAACAAGATTTTTCTATTTATGCTCCTGTGACCTAGTTTTTCATCCGAGATGACCAATGTTCCAACTCATTCAAGCTATCAACTAGACAAACATACTGACTAAGTTTGATGATGATTGAGGCAAAATTGTGACCACTAGAGTGTAAACAAGGTTTTTCTATTTTTAGCTCTTGTGACCTAGTTTTTCATCCGAGATGACCCATGTTCAAACTCATGCAAGCTATTACCTAGACAAGCATCCTGACCAAGTTTGATGATGATTGATGCAAAAATATGACCGCTAGTGTGTTAACAAAGTTTTCTATCTTTAGCTTCGTTGACCTACTTTTTCATCCGAGATGACCCATGTTCGAATCATCCAAGCTATCACCTAGACAAGCATCTTGACCATGTTTGATGATGATTGATGCAAAAATGTGACCGCTAGAGTGTTAACAAGGTTTTTCTTTTTTTAGATCCAGTGACCTTCTTTTTCATTGGAGATGACCCATGTTCAAACTCATCCGAGCTATCACCTAGACAAGGACCTTGACCAAGTTTGATGATGATTGATGCCAAAATGTGACCGCTAGGGTGTTAACAAGGTTTTTCTATTTTTAGCTCCGGTGACCTACTTTTTCATCAGAGATGACCCATGTTAAAACTCATCCAAGCTATCATCTAGACAAACATCCTGACCAAGTTTGATGATGATTGAGGCAAAAATGTGACCTCTAGAGTGTTAACAAGGTTTTTCTATTTTTAGCTCTTGTGACCTAGTTTTTCATCCGAGATGACCCATGTTCAAACACATCCGAGCTATCAACTAGATAAGCATCCTGACCAAGTTTGATGATGATTGAGGCAAAAATGGGACCGCTAGAGTGTTAACAAAAAAGTTTGAACGGACTGACGGCTGACAATCATTGATCCTAAAAGCTCACCCTGAGCATGTTCAGGTGAGCTAACTAGTAAAACCTCTATTACAACTGTACAAAAAAGATTATGATTTCAAATGTCAAAACAGAAGGTTTTGTCATATCATAATGTTATTTATCACTTTTATCTTCAGGAAAATGGTTTCCCATTATCCTTTTTCATATCAGTGTTATACATTGTAGTATCTAATTTTACCATGAATTGTACAAACAGGTTCGGTGCCATTCCATGAGCCGCCAGCTAGACAGGTGCGAGTCTCGTTACCAGACGATATATAGTATCCAGTGCTACATGTGTAAGTTGCCGTAGCACCAAACGTGGTAACAGGTGCAAATACAGTTCCATCTGTTACATCATTTAAACCCGGACAATCTGAAATGATACCACAAGGATGTAATAAAATGATATGATCAAAATAATGAGGTTGATCCCCTTGAATAAAACAGGGCTGGTGTATCTGTGACATTGATTAAAATAAATGTTCCTTTGATAAGACTTCTAACAATTGTCTTTTGGCACCAGATTAAATCAGTGTTTCATTTTTTGCCCCATTTTTTTTAACTCTTGGGATGTTAACTTAAATACAGAATTATACCCAACCCAAAAGTCGAGATTTTTATGTACCGACATGTACGAAATTTCTAAGATATTGGTAAATTTCTTAAGAAACACCATGAAAAAATATTCAGACAAAATGACAACTTATTATCTATTCTATTGAGGTTTTGTTTAGGTGGGTTTGGATGGGATTTAAAATCAGATACTACCCAGCAAACACAAGAGGTCATACTGACGTCAGATTTAAGTCAGGTTGTGACATCGGATGACTGTCGGAAAAATGGTTGGATTTGAAAGTTTTTTTGACGTAATAATCTGACGTCAGGTAGACGTCACAATCTAACCATTATCTAACCTTTTTCTGACCAAAATATGACCATTATCTAACCATTTTCAGACCTCAATCTGACCATTTTCCAACCTAAATCTTAACCCTTTTCTGCCCTAAATGTGACCATTTTCTGACCTAAATCTGATCATTCCCCTAATCCTTTTTGTTTTACCAAGTTTGATGATGATTGAGGCAAAATTGTGACCTCTAGTGTGTTAACAAAGTTTATCTACTTTTAGCCTAAGTGACCTAATTTTTCATCAGAGATGACCCATGTTCAAATTCATCCGAGTTTTCACCTAGACAAGCATCTTGACCAAGTTTGATGATGACTGATGCAAAAATGTGACCGCTAGAGTGTTAACAAGGTTTTTCTATTTTTAGCTCCAGTGACCTACTGTTTCATCTGAGATGACCCATGTTCGAACTCATCTGAGCTATCACCTAGACAAGCATCTTGACCAAGTTTGATGATGATTGATGCAAAAATGTGACTGCTAGAGTTTTAACAAGGTTTTTCTATTTTTAGCTCCGGTGACCTACCTTATCATCCGAGATGACCCATGTTGGAACTCATGTTCGAACTCATCCGAGCTATCAACTAAATAAGCATCCTGACCAAGTTTGATGATGATTGATGCAAAAATGTGACCGCTAGAGAGTTAACAAGGTTTTTCTATTTTTAGCTCCAGTGACCTACTTTTTCATCCAAGATGACCCATGTTCAAACTCATCCGAGCTATCACCTAGACAAGCATCTTGACCAAGTTTGATGATGATTGATGCCAAAATGTGACGGCTAGAGTGGTAACAAGGTTTTTCTATTTTTAGCTCCGGTAACCTACTTTTTCATCCGAGGTGACCTATGTTCAAACTCATCCCAGCTATCAACTTGATAAGCATCATGACCAAGTTTGATGATGATTGATGCAAAAATGTGTCCGCTAGAGTGTTAACAAGGTTTTTCTATTTTTAGCTGCAGTGACCTACTTTTTCATCAGATGACCCATGTTCAAACTCATTCGAGCTATCACCTTAGACAAGGATCTTGACCAACTTTGATGATGATTGATGCAAAAATGTAACCGCTAGAGTGTTAACAAGGTTTTTCTATTTTTAGCTCCGGTGACCTACTTTTCCGTCCAAGATGACCCATGTTTGAACTCATCCCTGCTTTCACCTAGACAAACATCCTGACCAAGTTTGATGATGAATGAGGCAAAAATGTGACCTCTAAAGTGTTAACAAGGTTTTTCTATTTTTAGCTCCTGTGATCTAGTTTCTCATCCGAGATGACCCATGTTCGAACTCATCCGAGAAGCATCCTGACCAAGTTTGATGATGATTGAGGAAAAAATGCGACCGCTAAAGTGTTAACAACTAAATGTGAACGGACAACGGACAATCATCGATCCTAAAAGCTCACCCTGAGCATGCTTAGGTGAGCTAAAAAGGGACATAACTTTAATGTTTGTCAGAAGAAAGAAAGACAACTCCTTACATACATATTCCTTCTAAAATGTTGTACTTGGGTAAACAGTTTAAAGCGGCCTTCAGCTTTTAATTTTTGTTGAAAAAACAATTCTGTATTGTTTCAAAGTAAGTATTTCAGAAATTTCATCTTGGAAAAGTGCATCATATTTAGGCCTTCTCCAAAACAGCGTCCTGAGAGCTATTTATAGTGCGCCAGTGACATTCATGTCTAAAAATAGAAGATCATCAAATGAATCTTCTCCTTTTTAAATTTACATATAGAGAATGGACCGATAGATAATAGGTATCATGGGGTTTCCTTATGTTGTTAATGTACTTTATTGACACCAAATTTCATATTCTAATTTAGTTATTTTCATTTGACAATTATATGAAACGATTTGGAAAAACTGAAGGCCACTTTAAAGTTAGCAAACTATAAAGTTTCAATTCCATATAACTATACTGTACAATTAATTATGTCTGGTTTATTTCAAGATAGGTATTAACTTGAAGTAAATAAAGCTGAAAATGTTAGTAAAGGAAGAGAACTCCTATAATATGTTAATAAAGAATATTAAAGTAAGGAAGATAACTCTTTCAAGCAATGTATCACTGCAGTCTAGCAAGGGAGGTAACTATGCAATCTTTCAAGACATGAGAGCTCATTTAAAATGGGTCAAAAGTTATATACATATTGTCTAATCTTAAATTCAGATTTCAGCTATCTGATTGGTCAACTACCAGCAGAGATTGTATATTGACTAATGAAAATCCTGAAGAACTGAGACAGATCTCAGAAAATAGTTGAACAACCTTGAGCTTCAATCACCTGTAGTAATGTACAGATCAAGCAGAAGCCTATAAAACTAAAATAACCAACACTGACGAAGGCCAATTTCAACATTTCCAACACTTTGTTTCTGTCCTGTTTAATAGGATTATACTTGAAACAAGTTACAATTTTAATAGAATTCCTAAAATATTTCAAGCAATATTTAAGCAATACAGCAATGTCATTAATTCATACCAAGACAATTGTGTATACATGTACAATATATTTTTTTATTTTGTCCACAGGTCAAAAGCAAAAAAAGCTAAACTTCAAATGGTGAAAAAATGGGTTTTACTCAAAATTTAAGCATACTTTTTTTTAAGGAAAAAAATAAAATGAGCTCTCTGTAAAGTTTGAGTATTCAGAGCTTTTTTCCCTATATTGAAAAGGGGCCTAGGCCCTTTTGATTTGTGAAAGACAAAGCGCCATTTTCCTAAACGATGTTAAAGAAGAATCACAATTTAGACACAACTTGTGAATATTTTTTTAAACACCCATTAACTGAAGATATTCAAACATGAAATGTTTAAATACCTATGATTTCATAAAGTTGTAAATTATCTTGGAAAATTCATGGTATTTAAAAATTTTGTTGTTATTCTGTTTAGTGGCTGCAATTAAAGAAATACTGGATTGTGAAAGTGGCATTTCTTTAAGTTAAGAATCTGGTACTTTTGAAATTGTGAAATGGCCTTTATGAGGTCAATAACCCCCGACACTCTCGGGTCTGTGATCTGCCCCGCAGGCCCTACACTAGCTGACGATGAGGGCCCTAATTTAAAACATGTTACATAACTCATTTAAAACTAAAAAGCTAAAAAAAAATGATATGGGAATTCTTCAAATTAAGAAAAATTATTGCCTTTCAAATACTGAAGAAAACAAGGTAATTCAACACTAAAACTGCAATGTCATCAAGTTTTACTGCAAGACAAACTTAAAACAGGACAATAAACAGACATAGTTAACTACTTAACTTTTTCTCATACATTTATCAAACAAAAAAGATTTGAAAAGAAATATCCACCAAAGAAATATTAACACTCAATGTCCAATAGTCACACAGAAATTACACCTGCCCAAGGATCAAAATATCAACTCCGGGATATCTAATCCAATGCTCTCCCTGTTGATCTATTCTGTTGATCTAGACATGTGGACCTTTGATTCAATCACTCATATTTCATTCACTTGAAAAGCACAACAACAAACTAGAAATGTGTCCATAGGACACGGATGCCCTCACACACCACTGTTCTGTCAATCTTATGACTCTAGGTCAAATATTTTTTGGACTACATGTGCCACAAGTTGAAAACTTAAAAATCAACAAAGGGCCATAATTCTGTTAAATTTGGTTACAGCAAAAATTCCTTCCTTTACTACCATCTACACATTAAGGTTGTTCATCCCTGGAAGTTTAAGCAAAATCTGCCATCCTGTTTAAGAGGAGTTGCGTTCACAAAATTTCTATAGTATATAGTGAAAAAATCAACAAAGGGCCATAATTCTGTTAAATTTGGTCGCAGCAAAAATTCTTTCCTTTTCTACCATCTACACATTAAGGTTGTTCATCCCTGGAAGTTTAAGCAAAATCTGCCATCCAGTTTAAGAGGAGTTGTGTTCACAAAATTTCTACATAGTGTATAGTGAAAAAATCAACAAAGGGCCATTATTCTGTTGAATTTGGACACAGCAAAAAATCCTTCCTTTAATACTATCTACATATTAAGGTTGTTCATTCCTGGAAGTTTAAGCAAAATCTGCCATCCGGTTTAAGAGGAGTTGCGTTCACAAGATTTCGGGACGTACGGACAGATGTACGGACGGACACTCGGACGGACAAGTGCAACGGTATATGCTCCCACTCTGTGGGGGCATAAAAAATGAATATTAACAAATTAATGAAATGCTAGGTTAAACAAGATATGTTTGTAAAACATGTATGCCCCCATACATAAATTTTATGAATCACATAGGCCTCATTAATGACAGCCAAGTTGTTATATTACATAAGACCTTCAAATGTGTATACCAAAAGCACATAAAAATATTAACCAAGGCAACTTGAGTTGTTGAGTTATTGGTCAGAAAGGGTCATTAAGTACAAGGTCACTATGACATTGACCCCTTCACCCCAAAATCAATAGGGGTCATCTACTGGTCATGATCAATCATCATACCAAGTTTGAAGTTCCTAGGCCTAAGGGTTCTTTAGTTATTGATCGGAAACCGTTTTTACCTACAAGGTCAATGTGACCTTGACCTTTGACCCCAAAATCAAAAGGGGTCATACGCTGGTCATGACCAATCATCATACCAAGTTTGAAATTCCAAGGCCTAAGGGTTCTTTAGTTATTGATCGGAAACCATTTTTACCTTCAAGGTCAATGTGACCTTGACCTTTGACCCCAAAATCAATAGGGGTCATCTGCTGGTCATGACCAATAACCATATCAAGTTTGAAGATCCTAGGCCTAAGCGTTCTTTAGTTATTGATCGGAAACCGTTTTAACATATAAGGTCAATGTGACCTTGACCTTTGACCCCTTGACCCCAAAATCAATAGGGGTCATTTACTGGTCATGACCAATCACCGTACCAAGTTTGAAGTTCCTAGGCCTAAGGGTTCTTTAGTTATCACTCGGAAACCATTTGGTCTATGGACCGACGGACGGGACGGACCGACAAGTGCAAATGAAATATACCATCTCTTCTTCGAAGTGGAGGCATAAATATTAAAGATTTATAACAGGATTCATACCCGTGTCAGACATCCTACTGATGCCATCTATTGGGGGATGTTGAACGGTCTGTGAGAGGTCACTTGATGTACCGCTGTCCAGTCCAGAAGCTGAACCAATCTCATTACCATATTCATCCTTGACCAGTCTTGAGGGTGGCGCTTAAATCATACAAGAAATTGTATTATGAAGGCAGCACTAAAATCAATCAAGAAATTGCATTATGAAGGTGGCACTAAAGTCATATAAGAAATTGTATTATGAAGGATGCACTTTAATCATACAAGAAAAAGTATTTAATAAGAAGGTGACTCTATAATCATACAAGAAAATGTATTATGAAGGTTCCACTAAAATCATACAAGAAATGGTGTGAGGTATCTCACCTTGTATGATTTTTAAACATTCTTATACATAATGGACTTCAGTATACTGCGGGGTTTTACTGGACGCAGATATAATATAGATATTATTGTTTCTGACCCGACATGAATTTATCTCTTTCTTCCCGAAGCTCACCAAATTCCATTTAAATCTAATACAGCGAGCAGAAAATGCTTGCATTGTTTATTTCGAAAGTTAACATAATTGAAATATACTGCCAGGGCTCTCGTGAGCATTTTGAGACTGGGGCCAGGGTCCATGCAGGGGGGGAATTTTGCATGATTTTCAAATATTTTTCATCCAAAGGGGAATTTCCACAGAGGAAGATTAATTCAGAAAAAAAAAAAAAAACAGAAAAAAGTGAATGCAAGATTCAGTTAACAAATAAACATCATTAAGCTGCTTTCATGAAATATTTGTTATTTTTTGCGGTACGACTTGAAATTGTGCGACATGTTGGAATGCTAAAACCCGTCCGGAACGTTTTATTTATATATACATACTTATTTCCGATTGCCATTCGCGGAATACTTACTAACTTCCGGTTGCCGTACGCGGAATATGCATTCGCCGATCGGCGTTTTCTATGCCCGTTAAAAATTAACTTCAAGGGATTTAAAGGGGGATTTTTTTCGGGTATAGGGGGAAAAAAACACTTTTTTGGTGGGGGAATGGGGCCGATATTAGGCCCCAAATTTTACCAAACTAGAGCCCTGACTGCGCATGCTATTTGCAAGTGCCCGCTGCAGAAACTGATGACGTTTATCGTGCAAGCTACAGTAACTGATGACGTTAACCATAAAATCTATTTTAGGTAGCTGTTTTTGGTTTTTCTGTTGCTATATTTAGACAGACTATTTATAACAAGCAATTACTTTTGGTTGGCGTATCCAATGTTGATGCGAATGTATTTTGTACATAACGGTGATAATAAACAAGAGGGCCATGATGGCCCTAGATCGCTCACCTGACTTATCAAACTCATCCAAACAATTATCTAGACAAGCAGTCTGACCAAGTCTCATGACAGGTGAGTCAAAAATGTGACCACTATAGTGTTAACAAGGATTATCCATATTTGAGCAGTGTGACCTAGTTTTTTACCCAGGTGACACTTGACCTAGAAATCATCAAAATAAACTTTCAGACCAATTTCCAGGATACTTGGATCAAAACAGTAGCAACTAGAGTGTTAACAAGATTTTTCTATTTTTAGCTCTGGTGACCTAGTTTCACATGCAATTTCAAACTCATCTAAGCAATTACCTAGACAAGCATCCTGAGCAAGTTTGATGATAATTGAGTTGAAAATGTGACCACTAGAATGTTAACAAGGTTTTTCCATACTTGGGCGGTGTGACCTAGTTTTTCATCCAAGATGACCCATGTTCGATCTTGAGTTAGAAATCATCAAAACAAACTTTCAGACCATTTAACAGAATATTTGGATCACAACAGTAGCCACTAGAGTGTTAACAAGATTTTTCTATTTTTAGCTCCTGTGACCTAGTTTTTCATCCAAGATGTCCCATGTTCGATTTATTCCCAGCAATGACCTAGACAAGTCTCCTGACCAAGTTTGATGACAATTGAGTCAAAATTTTGACCACTAGAGTGTTAACAAGGTTTTTCTATTTTTAGCTCCTGTGACCTAGTTTTTCATCCGAGATGACCCATGTTTGAACTCATTTGAGCTATCACCTAGACAAGCATCTTGATCAAGTTTGATGATGATTGATGCAAAAATGTGACCGCTAGAGTGTTAACAAGGTTTTTCTATTTTTAGCTCCGGTGACCTACTTTTTCATCCGAGATAACCTATGTTCAAACTCATCTGAGCTATCACCTAGACAAATATCCTGACCAAGTTTGATGATGATTGAGGCAAAATTGTGACCTCTAGAGTGTTAACATGGTTTTTCTATTTTTAGCTCCAATGACCTAATTTTTCATCCAAGATGACCCATGTTCAAACTCATCTGAGCTTTCACCTAGACAAGCATCTTGACCAAGTTTGATGATGACTGATGCAACAAGAGCCGGTTGAACCGGATGATGCTCCCGAATAGGTTTTGGACACAGGAAGGTATACCTCTTGTAGTCACAGACAAAGTTCAAAGTGTAAAAATAACCCAAATGTTATGCACGACACACTGTCTCAATATGGTGATCATTTTTGTGAATAAGTTGTAAAATCCAACTTCAAATAACGAAGTTATTGGCTGGATATGATTTTGCTACAAGGTCATGCTGTGACCTTGACTTTCAAGGTAGCAACCCTAATGTTGTATGGGACACGTGGATTTAATATGGTGATCATCTCTGTGAAATAGTTGTTAAATCTGACTTCAAGTAATGAAGTTATGGGCCAGACATGATTTTGCTGCAAGGTCATGCCGTGACCTTGACCTTCAAGGTGGCATCCCAAACGTTGCACATGACACATTGTCTCATTATGGTGATCATTTCTGTGAAATAGTTGTAACATCCGATTTCAAATAATGAAATTATGTGCCGGACACGATTTTGCGGCAAGGTCATGCTGTGACCTTGACCTTCAAGGTAGCAACCCAAATGTTGCACACGACACGTCATATCAATATAGTTATCATTGCTGTGAAATAGTTTTAAAATCTGACTTCAAATAACGAAGAAATGGGCCGGATACGATTTTGCTGCAAGGTCATGCTGTGACCTTGACCTTCAAGGTAGCGACCCAAATGATGTGCATGACACGTCATCTCAATATGATGATCATTTCTGTGAAATATTCTTAAAATCCAACTTCAAATAACAAAGTTATGGGCCGGACACAATTTTGCTGCAAGGTCATGCTGTGACATTGACCTTCAAGGAAGTGACCCAAATGAAGGCATGCCACACGTCGTCTCCATATGGTGATCATTTCTGTGAAATAGTTTTAAAATCTGACTTCAAATAACGAAGTTATGGACCGGACACAATTTTGCTGCAAGGTCATGCTGTGACCTTGACCTTCAAGGTAGCAACCCAAATATTGTGTGTGACATGCCATCTCAATATGGTGATCATTTATGTGAAAAAGTTTTAAAATCTGACTTCAAATAACAAAGTTATGGGCCAGACACGATTTTGCTGCAAAGTCAAGCTGTGACCTTGACCTTCAAGATAGCGACCAAAATGTTGCGCGCGACACGTCGTCTTAATATTGTTTTTCTATTTTTAGCTCCGGTGACCTACTTTTTCATCCGAGATGACCCATGTTCGAACTCATCCGAGCTATCACCTAGACAAGCATCTTGACAAAGTTTGATGATGATTGATGCAAAAATGTGACCGCTAGAGTGTAAACAAGGATTTTCTATTTTTAGCTCCGGTGACCTACTTTTTCATGCGAGATGACCCATGTTTGAACTCATCGGAGCTATCAACTAGATAAGCATCCTGACCAAGTTTGATGATGATTGATGCAAAATTATGACCTCTAAAGTGTTAACAAGGTTTTTTCTATTTTTAGCTCTTGTGACCTTGTTTCTCATCCGAGATGACTCATGTTCAAACTCATTTGAGGCATCAACTAGATAAGCATCCTGACCAAGTTTGATGATGATTGAGGCAAAAATGCGACCGCTAGAGTGTTAACAACTAAATGTGAACGGACGACGGCCTTACGGACAATCATCGATCCTAAAAGCTCACCCTGAGCATGCTCAGGTGAGCTAAAAGGCAATGATACCCCTAGGGAGGGGCCAGTTCTGACCCCAGGGCTTTTATTTGAACAAACTTTGGAGACACTCACTAGAAGATGTTTCCTGCTTGACATCTAAACTCTAGCTATTCGGGTTTTTTTTTTAAAGAAGATTTTAAGTTTTTGCTATACACATATACAGAAAATCAAAGTCCCCTGGGGCGGGGCCAATTTTGATCCCAGGGCTTTATTTGAACAAACTTTGAAGACACTAACTGGAAGATGTTTCATGCTAAATATCTAAACTCTAGCTATTTGGGTTTTTTCAAAGAAGATTTATAAGTTTTTGCTTTACACATAAATAAAATTACTGACCCCCGGGGCAGGGCCAATTTTGACCCAAGTGCTTTTATTTGGAAAACTTTGTAGACACTCACTAGAAGATGTTTCATGCTTAGTATCTAAACTCTAGTTATTTGTTTTTTTTTCAAACAATTTCTAATTTAAAGTTTTTGCTTTACACATATACGGAAAATCAATGACCCTGGGGCAGGGCAAATTTTGACCCCAGGGCTCTTATTTGAACAAATTTGGTAGACACCCATTAGAACATGTGTCATTCTAAATATCTTAGCTCTAGCTCTTTGGGTTCTTTAAAAGAAGATTTTATAAGTTTATACTATATGCATATTGGGAAAATCAATGACCCCCTGGGGCGGGGCCAATTTTGACCCCAGGGCTTTTATTTGAACAAACTTGATAAACACTCATTAGAAGATGTTTCATGCTAAATATCTTAGCTATAACTCTATGGGTTCTTTAAAAGAAGATTTTATAAGTTTTTACTATATACATATAGAGAAAATCAATGACCCTGGGGCGGGGCAAATTTTGACCCCAGGGCTTTTATTTGACCAAACTTGGTAGACACCCATTAGAACATGTTTCATGCTAAATATCTTAGCTCTAGCTCTTTGGGTTCTTTAAAAGAAGATTTTATAGGTTTTTACTATATGCATATAGGGAAAATCAATGACCCCCTGGGGCGGGGCTAATTTTGACCCAAGGGCTTTTTGGAACAAACTTGATAGACACTCATTAAAAGATGTT